TGCATTCCACTCAGCATCCTCTATTGCCTTCTCCACCACCTCGACACCAATAACCTTGGACACTTGGTGAGCCAGAGAGAGACCAATTGTGCCTGGAAACAAAGAACTCCATACATTCATGCTGAAGAAACGCCTTCCCACCGCAAGGATCAGCTCTAGAATGCACAGCTCTAGGAGCCCAGGACCCCACCTGTTCCACAGCAGATGTCAAGGAGGACAGTGTCCCCAGTAGGCTGGCAGAGCTCCCTGACTGCCTGGTACAGAAGTTCTGCTCCAGCCGTGTTGACCTGGAAGAAGGCGTCTGGAGAGATGCGGAACTGCAGGCCCAGCAGCTCTTCCAAGATGTGCGGTGCTCCGTGCAGGAGCTGGAAGGGGGACTGCTCGTGGGGACAGCGTGTCATGGTGCTGGCAGAGCACACAAAAACAGCTCTGAGAAGGCAGCAGAGAGGAGCTGGTTTCCATTCCCAGGGTGCTCATGGGCAGCAGAGGATGGTTCATCCCCCCAGCAACTTACATTTCATGTGAGCCTTTCAACAGGATTAAAGCATTTTGATTCTTTGTAAGGGATCTGGGACTTGCACAGTCTAAATTTTATTAAAAGTATCAAAATGACTTAGCAGAAGGCAGCATTCCTCAAGTCTATTCCCCAGTTTTGCTGCTAATGTGATTTACTGTTTTGGGATAGTCACTGGAAGTTTTTTCTTTAAGTTTCCCAGACTCATAATTCCCAGAGGTAGACCCATAGTGTGTTCAAGTAAGTCTGGAAGTATAAAAGATAGGCCCAACTTAAAGCCACATCTTCAAGAGGGATGCAAACATCTCTCATTCTCTTCCAGCACTCCCTGAACTGGTGGAATTTGAATTTGGCCAGAAAGGGTAGAAGAAGGAGGTGTCTTTGTTTCCACTCATTCCCCCTGTTGAGGCACTTACCTCTCTTGGAAATAAAGTGAAGTCAAGGCACAGACTGCTCCAGGCCCACATGTGAAGAACTCCTTCAGCAATGCTTTCTGAGTAGCCAGTGCCTCCTGTCAGGAGTGAGAAAGGAAAAGCTGCCTCCTTGGGTACCCTGATGGGACCCCTCTCCCAGCAGCACAGCCAGCAGGCTCAGCTCAGCCAGATGTGCCTCCTGCCTGCCCCCAGGTGCTCACCTGGCCCAGCTGCTGGGGGTGGAAGGTGATGACAGCCATGGTGTGGCCACAGCGGGTGGTGCGAACCACGAGCTCTCGCCAGTGCCCGCCTTCATGGAAGAGGATGCAGGAGTCCAGGGGGGAGTGACAGATGAACTCCTCATAGCACTGAGGGAGGGGAAATGGCACCCTTAGCACCATGAAGACAACTGCCCTGCTCTCAGCCCCCCAGGCAGGCAGCCCTTCCACCACTGTGCTCTGCTTTTTCTGTTTGATTTCAATACACTGGCTGAACGCTCCTTCCAGGCTCTTGAAAGACAACGTGTCTTAATAACTTCAATTTGCAATTCTTATGTATTTTAATAGATTGGCAGGAATTCATTGTCACTTGATTAACTTCATTACTTGGCACACTTTATGGGCTGTAATATCAACATGTGAATTTATATAAAAGTACTTATCCATCAACTAGAATCAGGCATGAAAATTTTCAGAACATGAAAATGGACTTGAAAACACAGCATAAGTAAAATTACAGTGTTCTCCCAAGTAAGAGTTACTGCAGTCTCCATATTCCACAGTGAAGGAACAGACATGACTTATTTACCTGAGCTACTTGTTTGTGTTTTGAGGGTATGTTCTCCACATGGTTGGCTTTCACACAGACAATATTCCTTTCTGTTGAGAGATGGATAGAAATTTAACTGCTCTGGTTCTGGGCACGTAAACCACTGTAGCACCTGACGTGATAAACTGTGGAGAGTCCTCTCCCCATTTCCACAGCCCATGCCAGCAGTTTTCTCTGAGTTTCTTGTCCTGCACTGACCTCTGCCAGTTCCCACATACATCCCCACAGTTTTGGGGTTCCCATCTGGCCCTCGGTTCACAGAGAAAGTCGATTTGTTTCGGTAGCCATTAATGATGGGCTGAGGGAGAAAAGAAGGAAAAGCAAAGCCTTGGATTAAAAGAAAAAGCAATGGAGGAAAGCCAAACCCCAGCCTGGTTATTCTGTTGCCAGCATTGAAGATGTATGTGAATGGGCAAAACACAGAAACAGAGCTTGTGCACAAGAACCCCAGTACTACCCCTTGGGGACAAGAAGTGGCTCTGTGACAATGGTGACAGGTTTAACAGGAGGCCTTAGGCACAAAAAAAAGGGTTTCTAAGCACTGAGCTTATGTCACTCTTGGGCAGTCACAAACTGCAAAGCACAAGTTAGCAAGGACTGACTCAGACACACTCTCTGCAAGCAAATGATGTCCCCCATGAGACTCTGAGCTGTTGAGTAAGGACTGTTCGTGGCTCAGAGGGAAGAGCATTCCCATGGGACACTCACCGAGGGGACTACAGGCTGCAGAGGACAGCAGAGCCCACCAGGTTTCTGTGCATCTATGCCCAGCTCCTCAAGACGAGATGCCAGTGTCTGCAAAATCTTCCTCTGGCTGTCATGCTTTACCTGCAGAGGAGTTCTAAGGCAGAAACACTCTCACAGGACCACACGATGGTGGGCAGCTCTCCATCACCCACCTCTGAGGAGTCCAACAGGAGGGAAAACGGCAAGTGAAAATATAGCCCCGGAGGAACTCTGCCCTTTTCATAACCATAGAGAAACAGGAAGAGTGAAAAATCCTGTGTCTGTGGTCCCCAAATACTGGCCTGGAACACTTTGTCTAACCTGAAGCCGCAGTGAAGCAGAGCAGTCCCACACAGGACAGGATCACTGTGCAAATGCCATCCCCTGTACTACCAGGAACCTCCCAGTTCCATCCTTCAGAACAGCAGGACTGAAGCAGCTGTAAATGGGGTCTGAACACTTTGCAGCATTAAGATGCTAAGGACTACTGCTCAAGGGGATAGGAGGGACAGCTGGGGCAACACAACGGAGCAAAGTCTGTGTAAACACATCTTACCTGCAGCTGCTCTTGGTAGGAAAGTCTCCACAGGGGTGTCACTGCATTTGCTAACCTGGAAAGCACAAGGCAGTGCCCAGAGCTACTTGAGTCCCCATTCCTATGGCATAACATCCCTGTCAGCTACTTCATGGGCAGGACTGTTCTGGTGTGCGCTCTGCACCAGGCTGTGAACATCCAGGGAACCACAGTGGAATGCACAGTGTGTGTAGCAGGAGGGAATTTCAAGCTGCCCATTCTCACTGACCTGACCACCCACACAGAAGCAGTTTAGAGATAAACCTCAGAATTTGCCACTACTCATATCCAAAGCAGAACAAGCAAGAACAAAACACATATAAACTGGATAAAAAATCCCCAAATATACATATCCTAAAAAGACCCCAAAACAGAGGTGAGGCTGATATGATTCAAGCACTCAAACTGAGTCTCTGAGCCCATTGGGAACACCACCTCACAGCTGGGTAAGTTGCAGCTATTCCTTTCGTATGATTTTTGCAGCTGCTTCCAAAACACCCAGTGCCAACTACTCTGAAGTCCAGGACTGCAAATCAAATGGACTATCACTTTTTGCTTGCCAAAATGACAACTTATCTGCTCCTTTCCTCTCAGAACTTTTCATTTGTCTTCTCCACTATCCCCTCCCCAGGCCAGACTCCAGGCAAACGAGCCGAGCCCTGGCTCTTCTATCCCTACCGGGTGGGAGCAAACCCCCAACCCACCACGTTCGCAGCTTTAGGCGCTTGCTGCTTTGAAAGAACGCTTTTCATTTTGGCAAAGCCGTACCTCTCCTCCCAGGAAGGCTCTGTCAGGCTGCAGCTGGCTCTGGCCTTTCCCCTCCGCTCCCACGTTGTCGCTGTGGCTGTCAGCAGGCTGCGGGGCGGGCGAGCGGCAGCGGGCAGGCCGGGCACGGGCACGGGCAGGGCGAGTGGCGGCGGCCGGAGGCGGCAGCGCGGCGGCCGCAGCGCCCAGACCGGAGCCATGGCAGCTGCTGGGGAGCCGGCCCGCCCCGGGACTGCTCCGGGCAGCGACAGCGACCCGCTCCGGGCACAGACCGGGACTGCTCCGGCACAGACCGGACCCGCTCGGCCAGCGGCACCGGCGGAAGGGCGCGGTGGGAGCCCAGCCCCGGCCCGCTGGCAGGGAGGGCTGAAAAGGCTGAGCTTTCAGCCCCGAGCCGGCGGGACACAAAGTGTCACAGCGGCTGCGTGGCCGCGCTGAGCCGGCCCGGGACAGACGGAAGGGGCTCGGTGCCAGCTGCCACGGAGCCTGTCCGGTGGGATGCCCAGGATGGCGGCGTGGCTGCCATTCAGCTCAGCTCGCAGGGTGGGTACATGTGCTCATATGGACAGAGTGCGAGAACAGCCTGTCCCAGCCGTGCCTGCAGCAGCGGCTCAGCGAGCAGGCAAGCGCACCTGGTGCCATGCTCACCTAATCTCTCCACCACGAAATATTTTCCGAGTCAGATGTGGCTTATTTGTTTAGGGACCCCAAGGATTCTCTTGTCCAAGTGTCTACCTGTCATCCTTTGATGTCACCTAAAATTCCTGCCGCCACGCATCCTTTGGCCAAGGGGCTCACCCACTCACTTGCTACCACTTGGGTGAATTGTTCTGTGAACCTGGCTGCTGCGGTTTCCCCCAAGGGCTCCAGAGCCTGACCCGGTCCCGGTCCCGGTCCCGGTGGGGCCGGAGCAGTAGCACAGATCCTCCACTCCGCAAGGGGGCGCCACACGGTTAAGGCCCGCTGCAAGCCTGGGGCGGTGCTCACCGCGTTTATCCACTCTCTGTGGGCGGGGCGTGTGCCGCATGGCCGCGCCCATCGTGCGCGGTGACAGCTGGGACTCGCTGCCGGCAGTAGCCGCGCCCTCGCCACGCCCCACTGTCCACGAGACGCCGGCGCGGGCGCCGATTGGCCGGCGGCGCGGGGCGGGGCGGGCGCCGATTGGCCGGCGGCGCGCGGCGGAGCGCGGCGCGGCGCGTCAGTTCCGCGCAGGGCCGCGATGCTGTCGGCGGCCGGCGGCTCCGGCCCCGGCGGGGCGGGCGGCTCCGGGCCGGGGCTCGGCGGCGACGGCGATTTCCTGTCGCGCTACCGCCTGGTGTCGGCCAAGCTGCGGCGGCGGTTCCTGCGGAAGCCGAACGTGGCGGAGGCGGCGGAGCAGTTCGCGGCGCTGGCGCGGGAGCTGCGCGCCCAGGAGAGCCTGCCCTACGCGGCCTGGTGCCAGCTGGCCGTGGCGCGCTGCGCGCAGAGCCTGTTCCACGGCCCCGCCGAGGCGGCCGCGCTGGCCGAGGCCGCGCGGCTCTTCCTGCGCCAGGAGCGGGACCTGCGGCAGCGCCTGGGGCTGCGCGGCGGCTTCGGCGAGCACGTGGCGGCGGCGCAGAGCTGCGGCGCCTTCGCCGCCCGCCTGCACCTGGAGCGCGGGCAGCCCGCGCTGGCCGCCGGGCCCTGCCTGGAGCTGGCGGCGGCGCTGCGCGACACGGGACAGCCCGCCC